TCGAGTTCCCTTGCCTTTGTTTATCGGATGCGGAAAACTGTCACCAAATAAGTGACGCTGCGGTGTGAACGGTCTCGCGCATTTTGTCGCCGCGTCTAGCGGGAAAGTGTCCGCGCTGCACCCGCGGCTGATCTTCCGCGCCGGTGTGTGGGAGCCGAGCAGTTATTGTTACTTACGTCAGCAAACACACGCTCAGCTCCTTAGCAGCAAACCATCTAACCAATGCTTTAAGAGCGCAGCCATAGCAACGGTAGTTAAACGCTCGAGAGTCCATTCAAATAGTTTAGCGGACTCTCGGGTTTACATTTTACCGATCTCCCTAAATATTTGAACAATAATCTCCCTTTAGTCCGTTTTGTCTCCCCTGTCTCTTTTGTCTCAGTTCGTCTCTTTTCCCATGTCCTATTTATATCTTTGCCCCCTTTTCCGTGTGCCCCTTGGCTCATTTGATAAATTTTCTCCCATTTTATCCCGACGTTCACAGTGCGCTATTTTGTCCTCCTGTCGCCGCGACCCATTTTGACACTTGTCCCCTGTTCAATTGTTGCCCCAAATCCATTTTGTTCCCTTGTCCTATTTGTCCCTTGTCCTATTTTGAACCCTTTTTGTTTTGTTCCCGTTTCACATTTGTCTGTTGTTCCATTTTGTCCCTATTCTCTCATTTTGTACCCTTGTTCTATTTTGCGTTTCCTATTGGTCCCTTTGTCTCCTTTTCCTAATTTGTCCCCATTTCTCCATTTTGTTCCTTTCTTCCCTCTTTCCAATTTTTACCATTTGACTCCGTTGTCCCATTTTGTGCCCTCTTCCAATTGTCCCCTCCTTTCCTGCTTTTTCCCACTCGTCCCCATCTTGTACCTTGTCCTATTCGTCCTTTTAGTCCTTCAGCGCACTGCGATTTTTATTTAAAAACTATACTAAGACCCTGTAACAAAAGCTTTTGATTCAGAACATCGAGAATGATGACAATTCTTTACTCATGAAAGTGTTAAATGTTTATATTGAATAACTAGAATAACTAGAAATAACAAAGAAGCATTGTACGTAAAACGTCCTCTATTAGTCTTTAAGGACAAGTCCGGAAGGTCAACCGCGAGGCGAAGCGATAGCAGAGCCGAGCCCGCCCCTAGAGACCAACTTAGAAGGCTTGTTACATAAATAAATATTAGAACTTAAGAAAATATTTTAAATCATCGTTACAAGAAAATAATATTTAATCGCACAGAACTCGCAGTTTAACTCTCAAAAATGTTTTGCTGATCTTAATAATATGCCGTTGGTGAGTCTCGGGCCATCAGATCCGCTCTTCCACCTAAGCACATGTCAGAAATATACAAATTAGTCTGAATATGTAATATAATCTAAAAATGTAAATGTAATGTAATCTACAAGTGGTAAGTAGTTAGTGGGAAACAAACATAATTTAAAGCAACTTATAAATAGAGAGCATCAGAAGTTAAGTAGATACAAAATGTTATAAAACTATGTTTGAAATAATATTAAATTCATAGACTGAGATTGATAACACAATTTGAATTGAATAACATATTACGTGCTCCACATATCCGCGTGCTACGCGGCAGCCTGGTATTATCCTCGTCCGACTGTGATCTATTAATACACAAAGACTCGCAACCCCGCTGGTCGGGGAAAAAACCCACCAGGCTGACTTGGTACTGATACAATGGAAACTAAGCTAACATGAAGTAACACGTAATTGGGATGGCTTCTTCAGCTGCTGTACACGCTGCACAGGGTCGTCTTTTGTTTAAATCCGCCTCTGCTCCTACGGATGAAAATACAATTCCGGCAGTATCAAACAAACCGCAGGAAAGTAAATTTTTCAACAAAAGTACATTAATGCTATTTCGAAAACATATTAAACAGTTCTTAACACTCCTAGAAATAGGTAAAACTGACATAGATCTGATTTGACCGGTAATCTACAGTGATTTAAATTGTAAAATAATATATTCTACTTTCTAAGAAAACCATTCAGGTGGTTCCTAAAATATGTTAATGAGGAACATATTTTAATATAGGAAAGCAATTTATTCCTTTCCTGGGCTACAGTAATTGTGAACGATTTATTGAAGTATTTGGTTTTGTTTTTTGGAATGCAGAATAACTGGGATTTGTAAATTCTAGAGGATTTAAGATGAACGAAATAATTTGTTAAATAGGACAGGAAAACAATCAAATTTCTCTCTTTGTTTAATCTTTTAGCGAAGTGCTTTGCTTTGCAATTTTTACATTTAGCGTTCACATGACCAAAATATTTGCTGCAAATTAGTAAGATCTACCCTTTGTGCCTACTGTACCTAATACAATTTCTGTTCCAAAATAGGAATGTGATCTTAATTTTTGTTTTCAGGGTCGTAATTTATTTCTTCAAAAATTAGTAAACTTCTGTATGTGACATACGGGGAAAACATAGGATCTGCATACGGCTTTTTCATTTATCTTCTTCTTTTCTCTCACGATCCCATGTGAGCAATCGTTCCGCTTGGAATTCTGCCAATGACACATTTGCGGCAACGAGTGTCTGTTGTCAGCGCACTGCGCATGCGCGCGGGCCGCCACTCGAGCGCTGCTCCGTCGGCAGGTGGTGGAGGGCGCGCCCGCGGGGAGCGCTGGTGTCCCGGGGTGCTCCCCCCCGCCCCTCCACCGCGCCCTTCGAGGCAGGCCCCCGCTCCGCAAATGCCGAACAACACAACCCCGCGACGCAGCGCCTGAGGACGCGACACCGCGGCGCGCAAAGCCCAGCGCGGCCACGCCCGCACCCCGGCAGCCCTGGCCCCGCCAGAAGCCGAGCGTGGGCGGGACGCCTCCCCTTCCTCTCTAGACGACGAGGGTGGGCGGAGGCGCGGCCAGCCCCCAGCATGCCAAGAGCGAAGGTATTCGCATGTGGCAGCGCCTGGGGACGGGGGCAGAATCGAAGGCGGGCGGAGGCAGGGGCGGAGGCGAGGCGTTAGGGGGGGCGGGGCCGGAGGCGAGGCCAGCCCCAGCAGCTCCAGCGCCGCGCCCTCCGGCCCCGACTCGAGCGCGCGCAGCGGGCGCAGCGGCGACAGGGGCGACTCGGACTACGTGAGCCTGGAGGACGCGCGCGGCTCGCTGCCGCACAGCCCCGAGCTGCCCCCCGACGAGTGGACGCGCCACCCGGCCGTGGACTGCGACGCCGGGCGCGCGGCCATGGGGCCGGCGGAGCAGGAGATCTGGGCGGGCATGGAGCGCCAGCCCGCGCCCGTCAACGCGTGGCTCAGCAGCCTCGTGCCCTGCAACCGCTTCCACCCGCGCGTGCTGTCGCCCGGCGCCGCGCCCATGGACAGCATCCGCGAGGAGGCCGACGAGGCGCGGCCCGCCACCGCGCTCTTCCACCACGCCTTCGTGCGGGCCGCGCCTCACGGTGACGGACGCGGGAACTACGATGCTGGAGGTCTCCCGGACGTTGTTGCGTTCAGGAAAGAGGAATCCAATGACATTACGGATTCTAACTTGGGAGAAATACCTCTTTGTGAGAAGCAGAGGGTAGACATTCGTAAGCTAAATGAAAGCACAGGAAACAACAATATACCAGCGAAAGAAGAAAAAACTTTAAACCAATTAAACGAACTCTTTTTCACAAGTGACGCTCATCATAATAACAAGAACACTAATAACAGTCATTTACTCGGGGTTCAAGAGGCACCGTCAATGAAATTTCCTCCATATTCTGTTTTTGACTGCGCTAATGAAGTAATCTCCGTGTCTGAAAAACAAAGAGAAAGATCTGTTACAAATCCTGAAGATATGTATGTAGATGAAGAGCTTTCAGAAACGGAAAATAAAATTAGTGATCGGCGCGGTGGAGAAGGTGCAACTGAAGATTCCTTAGTGCCTCTTATCTTGATTGAGGATATCGACGAGTTCACATCTTCCCGAGTCTCTCCTGGAGGGACTCGTCTTCTGGAAGGCGACGATGAGTCTCTTGCAAATGGCAGTGAAGGCGACGGTAGTGACACTTCTGTAAAGAATTCGTACCGCGGTCACGTGGCCTCACAGGGTTCAGGCAGGGCAAGTCAATCCGATGGTGAATATGCTTCTGCGACAGTTCAGAGCCGCAATGAAAATTTTTATGACACCTTTTCTCTTGGGAATGAAATATTTAATTCCCTAAGGCAGGAAACAAACGCTCAAATGTTTTGTTCACCTGCTTCTTTTCAAAGCAATAAAAAATTGCCATCAACAATTGTAGATATTAACCAAGGAAGCACTGATCCCTTAGATTCAGAACGAAACACCTTACAACCACTCACTCAATCTACACCTCCACACTCTATCAACTTTGTGGCAGAGAGTTTCTTGGTGGCTGAGTGGCCGCGTGGGTCCTCGCAAGAGGTCGTGTCGCCCGCGATCCGAGTGTCGCAGTGGAAGCAGTTCTGGGACCAGAAGGCGACCGCACTCAGGCGGAAGGAGGACTGCAAGGGCACGAGTCTGAAAGGCTGCGCCAAGAGAAGCTCCTCCTCGGGGCCTCCCAACTCCCCCCAGCGCCGGCGGCTGCACCCGTCCATTCGAATCCCTGGCATCGTCAGCAAGTGGCGCCAGGCCTTCGAGCACGTGGTCCACTCCAACCAACTGGGGGAGGAGTGCCTACAGTACAAACCGGCGAAGAAGAGGAAGAGTATATTGAAGCAACATTGGAGAGATGACGAGCAATCATTCACCGATGGTGAAAATTTAAGCTGCGACTCCAGATCTCCTAAAAACGAGAAAAAAAATAGAGCTGATTTTGGTGCGACTTCTTTCCTAAATGAGCCCAAAGTGCCGATGACTCTGGTAAGGAGTCGCAAACAGAGTTTCGAGGCGCTGTTTCAATCACCGAAGAAACGCACGCCCGAGCACTACTTTAAAACAGTTCCCCCGAGGCGAGGGGCTGCCAACGTGACAGAGTGGCGTAAATTCTGGGACCAAAACTCTAAAGGTCGCTCTTGCGGCGAGCTCGCGTGTCTTGCGTCGGAAGCAGCGGTTGTAGTTACGGATGAGATCTTCGTGGATGAACCATCGCCTCTCCTGCAGGCGGGGGACGGCGAAGTCACTGCAGGAGGCTCGGGGACATCTCAAGAAGCGGGCAGAGGCCGGAGCCAGCTGGAGAGAGCGAATGCCTTGCGACCAGGTCTCCCTCCCGTCCAGCCGACTGAAACGCAATCTTCCCTCCCTGTCACCGCACCCAGTTCTTCGTTTTCGTATCCTGTTACGGATGTATGGACGCACGTGGACCATGTGCCCGTCAGTTATTCGGAAAAGGTAAGTATTTATTTATTTACTTATTACAATCGCTTCCAACCCACTTCCTCGTACTTGAGCTCCCCTACCAGAAGCTCCTGTCTCATGCAGGCGAATGGACTGTACTATTTAAAAAAATTACGGTTATGTTACACGGTTACTATAATTTATAAAACTAATAATGGAATAAAAACTAACCCTATTCACACATGCATTCAATATAAAAATAACAATGACTTTGATACGTTTCGTTTTCATAGCTACCAAATTTTGAAGTTTTTCTAGCTGTAACAATTTTTTAAGGCGCGTTATTTAATGAATTTTTTTTCAGAATGAAATAACTTTGCAGGGAATGTTGTATAATTTACAATTCATGTATCGTCTTATTTACAACTTATTACAAAACGGTTTAGATTTCTTTCCTCCAATATTCGTATTGGAAAATTCGTATTCTTGTTCTTTCAAAAAAACATGAGTAGTTTTTCGTATTTTCTCAGTGTCTAGGTTTGCTGAATAGAATTTAAATATACCTTTAAGAAAATCTGAAAATAGTAAAATCTTGTAACATAGAATTTTTTCTTTCAAAAGTTTGGATCTCGGGTGAGATCCTTCAAATCTCCTTGTGTCAATAAAAGAGGCTCAGATGAACAGTTTTGTTCTGTTTTGTAGCATCATAATGATCTGTTTCGTTTTCTTCCTTATGTCTATCATAATCTGAACTCCCTATATGTAATGTCACGTGCACTGGAGGGCTTGGTATGAGCAATTTCACTGATAATATGCAAATGAACGAAAACACGTTTACATGAGTCGAATTCAAGATAAATTAAAATTTCAAAAATACTAAGAGTCATTGAGAACTTTTAAATAAATATTTGAAAACCAGTTAAGAACAGTATTAAGTATATCTATTGCTACTCGTGAGACAAAAAGCACGTTGGCCGGAGTTATTTAATTTATCCGACTCCTAAAGTTAATAATAATACTGCTCATTGAAGGCCATTAAATAAACGAATTTATTGATACGGTAGAAATGCAGATTCGTTCACGCGCGCTTCGATTCCGAGAATGACTCCCTCGCGGCGCGCCCACAGTGTGCGAGACCGACTCACTTTTCTGAGGAACTGTGGCGCTTCGCCGTGTGCCCAAGTTGAGGACGGGACTCGGCCTTGGAAACTCGCGATAATATAAAACCTCCTTGAGTCTGTCCAAGGCTCAGGCCTACTGGCGACGGCCCTGCATTGCGGCCTTGGATTAAGGCCAAGTGTGGTTAGCACAGAGACATCCCCACGCCGTATTCCGGTCTTCTCAACCTGAAAAGTGAATTTTCTCATCGTCACACAGCAACATGTTCTGGGATATTGCAAGGAGAACACACACTATACTCTTGCCTGTCCGAGAATCGAACCCGGGGCCGCGCAGTGGAAAGCGAGCACGCTGACCAAGAGCTAGCCACGGAGCGAAAGCATAATTACCAACGTATTTTACTCACCTTAAAAATCATTTGGCGAGTATATGTTCTTTATGTTTTGCAGGAATGCCTTCATTTCCTTTCCTCCTATTTGGCGCACTAGTTTTCTTCTGTTCTCGCATAATTCCCCTCAGGATCCGTTCTGTTCTACTTTCTGATTCTGCGTGAACGAGTCGCATCACAAACTGCATTTCAGCCATTGATTCTTAAATAAAACTTGGCAGTTGTTATATCCATTCACCCATCCACAGTTTCTGGTTGTACGCACTGTGTTAGCTGCGCAAAGCGCGTCCTGAAGAGTGCGTTACGCACAATGGCGTTGGTTGTGTCTCGAGAGGGCCAAATGCGGAGCCACGAACGTATACCAAGACAGCCGAGCAGGCCAGCAGGCCGAGCGCCGTTGTTGCGGGAGCTAATCGGACTTCCATGGTGCGCAGCTTTAATTCGACATTAGTCAGATATTTAATATATTTTATTTTACAGAGGATTTCGAAAGCGAATATTTGCATAAAATGCGTCGGTAGTTATGCGTTGGCCTGACACAAGGAAGTTGTATGTTAACGCGAGGGCCGAACGCCCGAGCCGCGTCCTCCACTCGGACTCGCGTAGCGAAGCGTCACAATGCCGCGAGAAAACTCCTGATTGAGACTCCGAGCGAATGCAAATGACTTGTGTCCCGGGCGAGCTTCTGCTCCTCGATCGCTCCCGATCTTGTGCGCACGCGCATATGCGCTAGTGGTGCGCAACTCGAACTGCG